AGAGATGGGAAATGGGAGGGGAAGGCTAAAGCTAGTCCAGGCAGCACAGCATTGATGCTTTTTGTCTGCTTGGAGGGTGAGGAGAGATGGAGGGCAGGGTGCAGGCAACTCTATGCTTTTGTCACTTCCCCTTTCTGCCCTAGCCTCCCTAGCACCCTGCTTGGGGAGAGGGGACAGAGGACAGAGTTCTGGACAAGAGGGACCCCACTTGGCCTAGAACCTGGGCCCTGGAAGGACTGAGGATTCCTGCATGGAGAGTAGGGCAGAGGGGGGTTCTCCGGAAGCTTGGATTTTCCCTGAAAGCTCATAGGAGCTTGGCTGCACCCTAAGCGGGAATGCTGGGGGAGGAGGGGGCAGGGGGCGGGAGCTGGCAGGGGCTGGGGAGCTCCGGATGGTTTTCCCCAAGAGTCCACGCAGGGAGAGACAGCCTAAGGAAGTAAAGAATAACATTTGGTCTTTGTCAAAAAACAAGCAAGGGGGAGGGGAAGGGAACAGACTGCGAGTGTCACACAGCTGCTAGGGTCAATCTGGAGCGTGGGGTTAGGTGGGGGTGGGAGGGAACCAGTCTGTAAGGGGCGGGAATGGCTCCTGGGGCTCACTCATTCCCAATCTCACGATCTCGCCCATGGCAGAGCAGGTGAGATCAGTGTGGATAACCACTGGTTCTCCCAAGGGGAGGAGAGAGAGCAAGCACCAGTGCCAGCCTGAGTGTTCCAAGGCGAGCAGGCACCTGCTTAGGGAGAAATACGCACTTTCCTCCAGCTCTGTACCCCACCCTGCAGATGAGAGGAGGAGGAGGTCTGGGCTGGGGTGAGGCTTCGGGAATGCAGTCCTCCTCCTCCTGGCTCCTGATCCCCACCCTCAACTGCCAGCCCAAGGTCACGGGCTGCCTCCTGAGCAGCTGAGGCCTGACTCACCTGTCACAGTTAAGTCCCCCACCCCCTACCGTCCACAGACACCAGGGGGTGGAGGGTGCATGGTTGGACGGATCCTGCGGGTGGAGGCGTGGAAGGATAGTCTCTAGCTGGCCAGCACTCCCAGCTAAGAGATAAGATTTCCTTCCCTCCAGCAATGGCCTCAAGTCCCTTCCCTGGGGGAAAGCAGAAACTGAAATGGGAATTATAGGGTCCCTATGAGGTCACAGGCTCCACAGTGACCTCACAGACTTAAGAAGGAGGAGGAGCCTCAGATAAGGAGGTTGGGGATAATAGGCGGAAACGCTCAGGGAGAAAAGAGTGAGGGAGATAGAGATTTACTTCTTTCCCATAGGCTGGAGGGCTGCGTGGACAGTGGAGAGGGCCAGGACCTTAGGGGGCGGGGTTGCAGCACAGAAAGCAGAAACCTTGGGAGTAGGGGCCAATCTCTGGGAAGGGGGTGCCTGGGACTGCTCGGATCTTGGCGGGACGGGGGTTAAGAGGTGTAGATGAAGAGGAGGGAGAGAAAATAGTGATTAGAGGAGCTCGTGGGGACTGCTTCATAGACTGATCGAAGCTGAGGTTAAGAGGTCAAGTAAATGATCCAACCAGGTGAGGGGCGGGACCATCCTACAGGTGCGCAGCTATGCAAATAAAGAGAAAGGAGGAATCACTCCCAACGCTCGGAGGCGCCGGGCGTTCTGTGCAAACCAGAAGCATTGTCTAGGAATTCTCAAAGATGGGGGGTGGTAGCTGCAGGTTTACGGCAATCAGGAGGGGCAGCAACTCTGGCCGCCAGGTGAAGGGGCGGGCCCGACTCCCAGGCTGGGCGGGGATTCGGGGCGGGGCTATGCAAATGAGGTCCCCGGTCGGGCCTGGGTCCGGGGGCCCGGCTGCACTCACCAGCCTGGGTGATGTCTGACAGGTCGTAGCTGCGGGCCGCACCCCGGGGGAAGTGCTTCAAGCGCCGGTTAGATAGGTTCAAGGTCCCGGTGGCCACGGCCTCCTCTAGGGCCCGCTCAGCAGTGCGGCTCCCGGGCAGACCCGGAGACCCGGGTACGGAGGTCGTGGCCGCCGCCTCCTCACCCCCAGCGGCGAGTGGACCCACTACGGCCGCCGCCATCCGCTCCCGGCGGCTCCCGCTGCCTGACTGACGAGACTGGACGTCCCTCCTTCTCCCACCCCCCTCCTTGGAGCCGCCGTAGTTGCCTCAAGAGGGAGGGAGTGGTGTCCGGGACCTGACGGACCAATCGTGGTCCCGAGACACGTCAGGAGCGGCCAATCAGAGCCCGTCAGTGGGGTGGAGCCTCCGGCCCTGGAGTCTGACGAGAGAAGGGAGGGGAAAGAGCATAGAGCGCCCGCCAACGGCCGACGCTCCAAGCCGTCCCGCCCAGCGCAGCCGCACCCAATCACAATGCTCAGATCTGGAGGTGGGGCCAATCAGGTTCAACAAGAGGAGGGGACACCGGCGCTCAACTAGTAGTGGAACGGGCCGAGAGACCGCAAGCAGGGGGCGCCTAGTCCTCTTCCCACAAGGGCCAATCGTAAGCCAGATACGAGCGAGTGACTGTCAAGAAGGCCAATTAGATCCTCCTTAGGGAATCTGGACAGGCCTCTTCTCTGAGGGACGGCTCTACCTGCCAATAGAATGGGCGAGAAGGCGGTCCCTTTGCTAAGGAGGAGGCGGGTGAGCTAGAACTCTTAAGTCTGGGGTTAAGAATGCGGAGCCCCGGGCCGCCTGGGAACGCAGTGCGCAGCTGCAGCGGCGGGTCCGAGCTGGACGTGTTAGGGGTCTAGCCGGCGTCGAGGGCTGGAAGGGAGTTGGGCGACTGCTAGAGGCCAGTATGCTGGCAGTTGTCACAGCTGAAGGGACGGCGGGGGGGACCTCCGGCTGTGGAGGCTCTGCAGGGGTCTCAGGACTCCCGGGCTGGGGCGGGCGGGGGCTTCCCAGAGCCTGAAGACGCCCAGCTGGAGGAGGGAGGGTGTCGGTGCATCGTTGCACGGTCTGCGGTCTCTCCCGAGGAGCTCCCCTGGACAGGAATGGAGAAGGGACCAGACCTGGGGATTTTAGAGGCTTAGAAAGGATATCAACGCCTAGAACACACCCTTGGTGCTACGAATGCAGAAACTGAGGCAGAGGGAAGTTGATGCGTTAGCAAGAGCGAACAGCAAATCCTGACAGCTGGCTATAGAAACCAGGTCTTTGGAACCTCCACGCACAGCCCTTTCCCCCTCCCTCGGTTTTCACAAAGGATTTTTTTTTTTTTTACCTCCCTCCCTCCCTTCCTTCTTCCTCCTTCCCTCTTCCTTCTTTCCTTTCTTCTCTTCCTTTTTTTCTGTCTTTTTTTAAATTAAAAAGGTCTGGTTCTGTTGCCCAGGGTGGAGTGCAGTCGTGCAATGATGGCTCACTGCAGCCTTGAATTCCTGGGCTCAAGGGATCCTCCTGCCTCAGCCTCCCAAGTAGCTGGGACCATGGGCGGCACCACCGTGCCTGGCTAATTTATTTTTAATTTTTGTAGAGATGGGGTTTTGCTATGTTGCCCAGGCTGGTCTCAAACTCTTGGCCTCAAGCGATCTCCTGCCACTGCCTCCCAAAGTACTGGGATCACAGGCGTGAGCCACCACACCTGGCCCTCAGTGGACTTTTTCATTCTTTTGAGACAGAGTTGCTCTGTTGCCCAGACAGGAGTGCATTGGCTCCATCATGGCTCACTGCAGTCTCAACCTCCCACCTCAGCCTCTGAGTAACTGGGACTACAGACATGTACCACCATGCTGGGTAATTTTTGTATTTTTTGTAGAGACAGGGTCCTACTATGTTGCTCAGGCTGGTCTCAAACTCCTGGGCTTAAGCAGTCCTCCCACCTCGGCCTCCCAAAGTGCTGGGATTATAGGCGTGAGCCACTACACCTGGCCCACAGTGGCCTTTTTCTGTTCACAACCTCTCGTTCGTCTCCTGGGGTGAAATGGAGTGTATAAAAGGGACCCAAACACAAGAGGAATGAAAAATACCTTTCTGTCTACTTGGAGATCTTAACTTCCTTTCTAGTGGCATAAGTTCCTAATGCAGTCCCCTTCCTATGCGGTGGGTTGCCCAGAAACAAGTCACTGAAGTTGCTTTCTCCTACGTTTATATCTCAGAGGTTTATATTCCTGAATAGTTGTTGAGTTATTAAAATTCCATCTTAGGCATCCCAGCCTAGCTATGGCTAGGCACCATACATAAAGGAATTTGAGTGGTCAGTCTGGTGCAGTCAATGAATGGGCTGTGACACTGTGCAGTGAGGGCTGGTGAGGTCCAGCAGGACAGGACTCCTTTGAGACCCTGCAAGAGCCAGCCACTCCTTGGATTTCTTGGTGTAGATCTGACCCAATCTGGACAGACACAACTCCAACCCCTGCCATTTCTCCTCATAAATGTCACCTCACATAAGACAAAGCTAGTATCAGAGACCCTAGGCGAAATCCTAAGCTTTCAGTGGAAATCCATCCCTTTCTCGCACGTTTATAGGTTGTTCTTTATACATGCAATGATGTTACTGTCCCCACGAAAGCAAAAGCAGTCTGCTTTTCATTGTTTCTTTTCTTTTTTGAGACAGAGTTTTGTACTTGGCCAAGCTGGAGTGCAATAGCGCGATCTTGGCCCACCGCAACCTCCGCCTCCTGGATTCAAGCAATGTTCCTGCCTCAGCCTCCCCAGTACCTGGGATTACAGGCATGCACCACCATGCCCGGCTAATTTTATATTTCTAGTAGAGAAAGGGTTTCTCCAAGTTGGTCAGGCTGGTCTTGAACTCCTGACCTCAAGATCCACCTGTCTCAGCCTCCCAAAGTGCTGGGATTACAGGTGTGAGCCACTGTACGGGGCCTTTTTTTTTTGTATTTTTGTTTTGAAACTGGGTCTCATTCTCACCCAGGCTAGAGCACGGTGGTGCGATCGTAGCTCACTGCTGCCTTGAACTCCTGGGCTCAAGCGATCCTCCTGCCTCAGCCTCCTGAGTAGCTGGAACTACAGCAGTGCACCACCATGCCTGGCTAATTTTTAAGTTGTTGTTGTTTTTTTAATAGATAGGGTCTCTCTATGTTGCCCAGACTGGTCTTGAACCCCTGGCCTCAAGCCATCCTCGCACTGTGGCCATCCAAAAGTGCTGGAATTTCAGTCATGAGCCACTGGCACCCAGCCACGGTCTCCTTTTGAATATGTTTTTCACGAGACTGAAAAATCTGCTGAATCATTTGTGAGCTAAACAATTATTAGCAGAGTCTCCATTTCACCTGTCAAACTGAGTTTATAGTTTTTTGAGTTTATACTCTTGAGCTACCTACCAATCCCTGGAGGCCTTGGCCTGCTGAGATGTGAAGAATTCTCCAGTGTTTCTCTACAGAGTTAGTACTAAAAGGGCCTCAAGTGGGAAAACCTCTTGCTCCCTGAAATAAAGATGTCATCTACCAATAATTCACACTTTATTTCTCCAGTAAAATGCATTTCCCTTGAGCCATTGATGGCTAGAACTGAGCTAGAACCCAGGAGCTGTTAAGAGATGGGCCCTGGGCATTAAGGGGAATAGGTCACAGTGACTGAACAGTGAGGTCACAGAGAGGTTTGTTGGCCACAGACTCCATGAGGGAGGGGCCTAGGAGGCAAAGGGGCCCCAGAGGTCCCCCAAGCCTAGGCAGGGGACATGGTGTGGGAAAGCCAGCAGGAACAGGGGGCCAAGGGCCTAGGAGACAGGAGGGCAGGAGCAGGGAGAGGGCAGCCAGGATAATGAGGAGAAGCCAGAGACGGAAGCTGCAAAAATTCACCGGGTTATGCAGACGGGAGGAGGGGCTCTGGGTGAGGGGGGCTGGCCACAGGAGATCGGGAGGTTTTATTTGGAGAAGTTAGGGATGGGTCTGGGGAGAGACGAGGACATGACTGCACCGAGCTGGAGTCAGATGAGCCCCAAGATAGGCAGAGAGAAGGGAGAAAAAGATGTGGGACCTTCACGGGACCCTATGCACCCCTTCTTGGGTAGGTGAAGAGAAGCTGCCCTTCTTGTGGCCCGGAGCTTGGGGGTGAAGAGAAGAAGGGGAGAGGGAATCCGATTTCTGTCCAGTTGTTTCCCCCAGAGCTGGTGAGTCCTTGGGGAGGCGGGTTGAGAATAATAGGATTGGGGACCAGACTACCAAGGGTCCACCGATGATGCCCCCACTTCTTCCCTCCTCCCTCCCAGGTGGAACATATCATCTCATTCCTCCCAGTCAGAGACCTTGTCGCCCTCGGCCAGACCTGCCGCTACTTCCACGAAGTGTGCGATGCGGAGGGGGTGTGGAGACTCATCTGTCGCAGGCTGAGTCCGCGCCTCCGAGATCAGGGTTCTGGAGTCCGGCCCTGGAAGAGAGCTGCCATTCTGAACTGTACACCTTCCCCAGAACCTCCCATTCTCCTTGCCTCTGTCCTGCCTTAGCCCTCCTACTCTTAAAGTCCCCTGATGACCTCCACACTCCTAACAGTGCTTCCAGGGCTCCTTTCTCCGGAAGAAATGGGTCCAATTCAAACATTTTCCCTTGAGGACTTCCTCCAAGTCTTCAGAATCCACCCACAGTTCCCATTAGCGGCCTTCCTGCCAAGTCTCTCTGTACACAGACACTTCCCGCTCTTTCCCTAGAGGCATCCTCACTCCCCAAACCTGGAGTTTTCTTTTCTCTAACTCAAGGCTTCGGAACTCACTATTGATATTTTGGGCCAAATAATTCCTTGTTGTGGGGGCTCTCCTCTGCATTATAGGATGTTTAAGCAGGAACCCGGGCCTCCACCCACCAGATGGCCAGCAGCACCCCCCTTAATTGTGACAACCAATGCTCCTGAAGGACAGAATCGCCCCCAGCCTGAGAACAATGCCCTAAGCCCTCTTCGCCTCCAGGGATCCTCTATGCAGTTACTTCTTACATCCACTGTGAGATTAGAGGGACCCAGAAAGCAGATCCAAAGCTGGGGTGAGGGAGGGTGACCGGCCTTTGTCCATCATTCCTTTTCACTCCTTTTTCTGCCACTTTTCTGTCTTTTTTTTCCTTCCTTCCTTTCTTGAGACAAGGTCTTGCTCTGTCACCTACGTTGGAGCACCCATGTGATCCTGGCTCACTGCAACCTCTGCCTCCTGGGTTCAAGTGATTCTCATGCCTCAGCCTCCCAAGTACCCAAGTAGCTGGGATTATAGGCGCCCGCACCCACACCCAGCTTATTTTTGTATTTTTAGTAGAGCTGGGGTTTTGTCATATTGCCCAGGCTGGTCTCAAACTCCTGGGCTTAAGCGAACCACCCACCTCAGCCTCCCTAAGTGCTGGGATTACAGGCATGCAAAAATTCACCGGGCTGTGAGGATGGGAGGAGGGGCTCAAGGTGAGGGGGATGCTGCACCCATCCTCTGTGTCTTTATTCTTATGAATTGCTCATTAAGAAGCACATGTTTGACCCTGGGCTGAGGTAGGGTGGACACTGAAGTTCACACGTCTGGTATAATCTAAGCTTATTTTCCACATTTCCTTTATAAGGGGTCTGTTCCCCTATCCTGGGGATAGGGAGGAGCTACAAACCAGGGTGTCTGAGAAATCTACACAAGCTCTGACTCATCGCCCTGGTGTCATCCCATCCCTTGAACCTTCAATGTCCTTCCCTCCTCCAGACACAAAGGGCCTGTATTTCCAGGCATTTGGAGGCCGCCGCCGATGTCTCAGCAAGAGTGTAGCCCCCCTGCTAGCCCATGGCTACCGCCGCTTCTTGCCCACCAAGGACCACGTCTTCATTCTTGACTATGTGGGGACCCTCTTCTTCCTCAAAAATGCCCTGGTCTCCTCCACCCTTGGCCAGATGCAGTGGAAGCGGGCCTGTCGCTATGTTGTGTTGTGTCGTGGAGCCAAGGATGTGAGTAGCAGAACCCTGGTAGCTGAGGGCCCACCTGTATTCCATTTTCATGCTGCTATAAAGATGTACATGAGGCCAGGTGCAGTGGCTCATGCCTGTAATCCTAGCACTTTGGGAGACGGAGGTGGGAGGATCACCTGAGTCCAGGAGTTTGAAACCTGCCTGGCCAACATTGCGAAACCCCTGTCTCTACTAAAAATACAAAAAATTAGCTGGGTGTGGTGGCGGGTGCCTATAATCCCAGCTACTTGGGAGGCTGAGGCAGGAGAATCACTTGAACCTGGAGGCGGAGTCTGCAGTGAGCCGAGATCGCGCCATTGCACTCCAGCCTGGGCAAGAAGAGCGAAACTCCGTCTCAAAAAAAAGACATACCTGAAACAGGGTAATTTATAAAGCAGAGGTTTAATTGACTCATAGTTCTGCATGACTGAGAGGTCTCAGGAAACTTACACTCATGGCCGAAGGAGAAGAGGCACGTCTTACATGACAGCAGGCAAGAGCGCACAAGCAAGAGCAGAGCAAACTATCTTATAAACCCATAAGACCTCATGAAAACTCATTATCACGAGAACAGCATGTGGCAAACCGCCCCCATGATCCAATCACCTCCCACCTGGGGATTACAATGCCAGATGAGATCTGGGTGGGGACACAGAGCCTAACCATATCACCACCCCTCTTTTGGGGGCCTAGGCCCCCATCAATCCCTAGGTATCTTTCTATGACCTCTGCCCTTCCACATAGGAACTTTAAAGCAAGGGCTCATTTCAAAACCCTGGATCCAAGCATCTCACCTCCCACTCCAGGATCCAGCTGCCCCAGCGTCATCTGGTTTTGAAATCCTAGATCCCAGACACCCTTCATCTTTTTCCCCAGTTTGCCTCAGACCCAAGGTGTGACACAGCTTACCGAAAATACCTCTATGTCTTGGCCACTCGGGAGCAGCAGGGAGTGGTGGGTGCCACCAGCAGCCGGGCCTGTGACTGTGTGGAGGTCTACCTGCAGTCTAGTGGGCAGCGGGTCTTCAAGATGACATTCCACCACTCCATGAGCTTCAAGCAGATCGTGCTGGTTGGTCAGGAGACCCAGCGGGCTCTACTGCTCCTCACAGGTGTGGTCCAAAGCAGTGGCTTTTGCAAACTGTTTCCTGCAGACTCCCCAGGCCCTGCTGCAGAGGAGAGGGAGGGAGGCCCCTCAGAGTGGGTTCCATATGCCACTTTATCCTAGTCTCTATCTAAACAGCTCTGCTTTTCTCTGTCTCCCAGTCTAGGATTCTGCTTAATATTTTACATGAATAAAAAGCCCAGTCTGGGCACGGTGGCTCACGCCTGTAATCCCAGCACTTTGGGAGGCTGAGGCAGGCAAATCACCTGAGGTCTGGAGTTCAAGACCAGCCTGTTGGTGAAACCCCATCTCTACTAAAAATACGGAAATTAGGTTGGGTATGGTGGCTCACACCTGTAATCCTAGCACTTTGGGACGCCAAGGTGGGAGGATGACAAGTTCAAGAGATCGAGACCAACATGGTGAAACCCCATCTCTACTTTAAAGAATACAAAAATCGGGCCAGGCGCGGTGGCTCAAGCCTGTAATCCCAGCACTTTGGGAGGCCGAGGCGGGTGGATCACGAGGTCAAGAGATCGAGACCATCCTGGTTAACATGGTGAAACCCCGTCTCTACTAAAAATACAAAAAATTAGCTGGGCATGGTGGCATTGCACTCCAGCCTGGGCAACAAGAGCGAAACTCCGTCTCAAAAAAAAAAGAATACAAAAATCAGGCTGGGTGCAGAGGCTCACGCCTGTAATCCCAGCATTTTGGGAGGCCGAGGCAGACAGATTATGAGGTCAAGAGATTGAGACCATCTGGCCAACATGGTGAGAACCACATCTCTACTAAAAATACAAAAATTAGCTGGGCATAGTAGCACATGCCTGTAGTCCCAGCTATTCAGAAGGCTGAGGCAGGAGAATTGCTTGAACGTAGGAGGTGGAGGTTGTAGTGAGCCAAGATTGTGCCACTTCACTCCAGTCTGGTGACAGAGTAAGACTCCCTCTCAAAAAAGAAAGAAAGAAAGAAAAATCCAAACTGTACAGCTTCCATGCCAATCGCCTCATTCATTATACTCTAAACAGCTCCCTACTTTCCCAGTGTCCTCTATACTTAAGCCCTAGGCCTGAGACTCTCTAGACTTTTTCTTTTTTTTTTTTTTTCGGGAGGGCACTGAGCCTGACAAGGCTGCAGGGCTTCGAGGCCGTGCCCCACAAGACTTCCTTAAAAAAATTTTTTTGGCGGTGGTAGAGATGGGGTCTTGCTATGTGGCCCAGGCTGGTCTCGAACTCCCAGCCTTAAGTGATCCTCCTTGGCCTTCCAAAGTGCTGGGATTACAGGCGTGAGCCACCACACTTGACCACTTGTAAACTTCTGAATGCCAGGAAGGGCCCTCAAACCCCAGACCTCTCACTCAAATTGATTCTACCAAATCTGCTAGATTTTTCTCTCCACTTGTCTCTCATGCTGAAGTATTTCCCTGACTTACTGTGGAGGCTGGAGTCTGGGGGACTTGGGGTCTCTCTTCCCTTATTTCTTTCTCACCCTTTTTCTCCCAGCTCCACTCTAGGGCAGTAAATGTGTCACCTGTATGGTTTAGGGAGTCTCTTGGGACGTTTATACGGCTATTGGAGAATCCTCTCCCCAGCTAACTGTCTCCCTCCCCTACCCCCAGAGGAAGGAAAGATCTACTCTTTGGTAGTGAATGAGACCCAGCTGGACCAGCCACGCTCCTACACGGTTCAGCTGGCCCTGAGGAAGGTGTCCCACTGCCTGCCTCACCTGCGCGTGGCCTGCATGACTTCCAACCAAAGCAGCACGCTCTACATCACTGGTATGGATCCCCACCACACCGCAAGCCCCCAACCTTGGTTAGACCCTCCAAACACCAACATCCCTCACCCTTACTCCAGCTGGATGATGAACCCCTGAGGGCATCCTAGTGAAAAGATCTGTTTAGGGCTGGGTTCGGTGGCTCACACCTGTAATCTCAGCACTTCGGGAAGCTGAGGCAGGCAGATCATCTGAGGCCCAGAGTTTGTAACCAGCCTGGCCAACATGGCAAAACCTCATCTCTACTAAAAGTACAAAAATTAGCTGGGTGTGGTGGCAGGTGCCTGTAATCCCAGCTACACCAGAGGCTGAGGCAGGACAATCACTTGAACCAGGAGGTAGGGTTTGCAGTGACCTGAGATCATATCACTTCGCTCCAGCCTGGGCAACTGAGCGAGACTTGGTCTCAAAAATAAAAGATGTTTTTGGTTCTCAGACATCATGGCTGATGCATTCCTAGTGGGTGTGAGGACTCCTAGGCTCCTGTAGCTTTCATCCAGGTGGGGCCTTATCCCTAGGAAATGGGTGCCCAAAGCTGCTGAGCTGAAGGCTCCTGACCCCCCAGAACAGGGGGGAGTGTATTTTGAGGTGCATACCCCAGGGGTGTATCGCGATCTCTTTGGGACCCTTCAAGCCTTTGACCCCCTGGACCAGCAGATGCCGCTTGCTCTCTCACTGCCTGCCAAGGTAGGCTCTTGGAGGGATGGGGCAAACCAGAGGGGTGGGGCCATAGGGACTGGAAGGTCTGAAACATGAGCAGGAATCAAATGATTGATCCAGAGGAACAGGGGACCCCCAGGGAGAGGGCCATGCAAAAACAGATCAGCTTGGGGCTGGGCACAGAGGGAGACTGAGGAGGGAGGATCACTAGAGCCCAGGAGTTCTAGGCAGCCTGGGCAACATAGTGAGACCCCATCTCTTAGATAGATAGATAGATAATCAGCTGGGGATGCCAGGTTAGTGGTTGGGAGACTCTGGAGCTCAGAGTTGCTCTGGAGAGAACAGAATGCCTATCTCCCCTTTCTGTCTTGCACTCTAGATCCTGTTCTGTGCTCTTGGCTACAATCACCTTGGCTTGGTGGATGAATTTGGCCGAATCTTTATGCAAGGAAATAACAGATATGGGCAGCTAGGAACAGGGGACAAAATGGACCGAGGGGAACCCACACAGGTGAGATTGTTTTCCAGCAATTCTTCCCAACCCCCTTCCTCCAATCCCCTAACCCCCAGATCTGTCCACTTCTCCAACTTCCATAGAATCCAGTTTCTGCTTCTTTGAGAAATTAAGCCAATCAGTATATAATGCCAGTGGTACTGGCCCACGTCTTACCCAGGGTTGGCACTATGAGGTCGATTCTCTGCAGTGAACACTGTAAATGTAATAGAAATTTAGTGAAGGGGTAGAGTGGGTGACCTGAGTGAGCTAGAGTAACTTCTAGAAGAGGTATAAGCAGGGGCCGGGTGTGGTGGCTCATGCCTGTAATCCCAGCACTTAGGGAGGCTGAGATGGATAGATCACTTGAAGTCAGGAGTTCGAGAACAGCCTGGGCAACATGGAGAAACCCTGTCTCTACTAAAAATATAAAAAATTATCTGGGTGTCGAGGTTTGGTGGTGGCCCACACCTATAATCCCAGCAGTTTGGAAGGCCAAGGTGGGTGGATCACTTGAGGTCAGGAATTCAAGACCAGCCAGGCCAAGATGGTGAAACCCTATCTCTACTAAAATTACAAAAATTAGCTGGGTGTGGTGGCAGGCACCTGTAATCCCAGTTACTCAGGAGGCTGAGGCAGAGAATTGCTTGAACCCAGGAGGCGGAGGTTGCAGTAAGCTGAGATCATACCACATCACTCCAGCCTGGGTGACAGAGCAAGATTCCGTCTAAAAAAAAAAGAAAGAAAAAAAACTTAGCTGGCATGTGTTGTAATCCCAGCTACTCAGGAGGCTGAGGCAGGAGACTCGCTTGAACCTGGGAGGCCGAGGTTGCAGTGAGCCAAAATCGTGCCACTGCACTCCAGCCTGGGCATCAGAACAAGACTCAAAACAAACAAACAAACAAACAAAACAAAACGATGTGAGCAGGGCCTCGTAGGTTACATAGACTTAGGTAGGGGTAGAGAAGGCATTCTGTGTGATGAGGAGGGGGATAGGCACACAACTTGCACATACCTGGGACAGTGACAAGATGAGTCTCACTAAAGCGCAGAAGGCATTGGGAATCACTGAGGTATGAGGTGGTGCAGGTGGGCACAAGTCTGGAGAGGTGTAGATTTGGGCAAGAGTCACTGCAGGTCCTGGAATAGGAAAAGGCAACCCATAAGAGGTAATAGAACATGTCAGCCAGCCTTGTGCAGAGGAGGCCAAGGTGGGGAGCCTGCCAGGAGGCTGTTGAGTGACAAGGGCTCGGCGCTGCAGCGAGAATGGGAAGGAATGGATATAGGAGATATTTGGGAAAAATGAATAGGCCCTTGAAACTGTTTAGATGTAGAAGAGTGAGGTATAAGACAGAGGTGGCTCTGGAAGAAAGGTGATATCTCCCACCTGTAATTCCAGCACTTTGGGAGGCTGATGCGGGCAGATCACTTGAGCCCAGGAGCACGAGATAAGCCAGGACAACATGGTGAAATCCTGTCTCTAGAAAAAATACAAAAATTAACCGGGCCTGGTGGCATGCACCTGTAGTCCAAGCTACTCGAAAGGCTATGGGGTGGGAGGATCACTTGAGCCGAGCAAGTAGAGATTGCAGGGAGCTGAGATCATGCTGTGGCACTCCAGCCTGGCCAACAGAGACACCCTCTCTCAAAAAGAAAAAGAAAAAAGAAAAGGAAGGAAGATGGTTTTACCAACAAAGTGAGAGTTAAAAAGGAATACTGGTTTAAGGAAGAAGAGAGTGTGAATCTGGGCCTCTTGCAGTGAGAGTAGAACACTCAACTGGAGGCTGGGCAGGGAGGCTCATGCCTGGAATCCTAGCACTTTGGGAGGCCAAGGTGAGCTGATTACTTGAGGTCAGGAGTTTGAGACCAGCCTGGTCAACATGGCGAATCCCTGTCTCTACTAAAAATACAAAAATTAGCCAGGTGTGGTGGCGTGCGCCTGTAATCCCAGCTACTTGGGAGGCAGAGGCATAAGAATTGCTTGAACCTGGGAGGCGCAGGTTGTAGTGAGCCAAGATCGCACCACTGCACTCCAGCCTGGGTGACAGAGCGAGACTCAGTCTCAAAAACAAAACAAAACAAAACAAAAACTCACATTCAGTTGGAAATGTCTAGCTGGCAATTACATTCTACCTGGGAACGTGGTTGAACGGACAGAAGTAGAGACTGAAAAGCATCTCTGGGAAGCAGGCCCCATGGTAGGCAAGGGTTGAAGAAGAGGTGCCTCTGAGACAGGCCATGCACCCCTCTAACACCCGTCCCAGAAGCCACAGGAGAAGGAAGTTTCATATGGGATGGGTGGCAGGGTGGTTAATGGTGATGGTGTGACAATGTAAGATACATTTAGTACTGACATGGAAAAGATTTCATAAATTTTTTTTTAGGTTAAAAAAATTTATGAAATAGTTTACATTGTACCATTTATTTTTATTTTTATTTTCAAGACGTAGTCTCTCTCCATCTCCCAGGCTGGAGTGCAGTGGCACGTCTTGGCCCACTGCAACGTCCGCCTCTCAGGTTCCAGTGATTTTCCTGCCTCAGCCTCTCAAGCTGCTGGGACTACAGGTGTAGCCACCATGCCTAGTTAATTTTTGTATTTTTAGTAGAGGCAGGGTTTCGCCATGTTGGCCAGGCTGGTCTCGAACTCCTGACCTCAGGTAAGCCACCTGCCTTGGCCTCCCAAAGTGCTGGGATTACAGGCGTGAGCCACCACACCCAGCCATTTTTTATTTTTATTATTACATTTTTGAGATGGGGTCTCACTGCTTCCCAAGCTGAAGTGCAGTGGCATGATCATAGCTCACTGAAGCTTCCAACTCCCCCGCCTCAACTTCCCAAGTAGCTAGGACTACAGGAATATGCCACTATGCCTGGATATTTTTTTTTTAAATAGACAGTGTCTTGCTCTGTTGCCCAGGCTATATCGAACTAATGGCTTTAAGCAGTCCTCCCACCTCAGACTCCCAAAGTGCTGGGATTACAGACGTGAGCCACCACACCCAGCACTATCTCATTTTTTTGTTTAAAAATACACAACTTGCCCATCCTGGTGGCTAGCATCTGTAATCCCAGCAACTAAGGAGGCTGAGGCAAGGGGACTGCTTGAGGCCAGGAGTTAGAGGCTGCAGTGAGCTGTGATCACACCACTGTACTACAGCCTGGGTGACACTGAGATCCTCTCTCTAAAAAAAAAAAAATATACAACTTATGTATATTTATTTGTTTAGCCAACAGTAAAGAATATCTAGCAAGATGTTAATAGTGGGTGGTGGGATTTCCAGTGATTTTAAAACTAATTTTTGCTTGCCAATGTTCCATAATTTTTCTAGGATGACCATAAATTACTTACCAGTGTCTTTAGAATTAAAGCACTAACAGGCTCAGGAGAAGGAGCAGGCAGAAGAGGCCCTGGGATTTAGCTGCTGAGAGGCCAAGTGCCTTTAGAGACAGCATGTCAGTAGTGTAACAGAGAGAAAAGCCAGATCCCTGGGAGTTGCTGGAAGGACTCGTTGTGGGAAGGAACAACAATGTGGTCAAGCTCAGATTGGTCATGTAACCAACTCTGCTGCTTGAGAGAGAGAGGCAGGAAGTGGCAGGAAGCAAGTAGAAGCGTTTTTTTCAAAAACAGGGTGGCCATTTTGGAAGAGAACTATGTGATAAGTTGAAAATACTAGGCTGTGCGTGGAGGCTCATGCCTGTAATCCTTCACTTTGGGAGACCGTGAAGACCAGTCTGGCCAGCATGGTGAAACCTCGTCTCTACTAAAAATACAAAAATTAGATGAGCATGGTGGTGTATGCCTGTAATCCCAGCTACTTGGGAGGCTGAGGCAGGAGAATCACTTGAACCTGGGAGATGGAGGTTGCAGTGAGCCGAGATCGCGCCACTGCATTCCAGCCTGGGCATCAGAGTGAGACTCCATCTCAAAAAAAAGAAAATGAAAATGCTAGAGTGCTGGCCGGGCATGGTAGCCCACGCCTGTAATCCCAGCACTTTGGGAGGTTAAGGCAGGTGGATCACCTGAGGTCAGGAGTCTGAGACCAGCCTGGTCAACATGGTGAAACCCTGTCTCCACTAAAAATACAAACATTAGCTGGGCGTGGTGGCAGGGACCTGTAGCCCCAGCTACTTGGGAGGCTGAGGTGGGAGGATCATTTGAACCCAGGAGATTGTGCCATTGCACTCCAGCCTGAGCAACAGAGTCAGACTCCATCTCAAAAAAAGAAGAAAGAGAAAAAAGAAAACACTAGAGCAGAAGGGAGGGACAGTGGAAGGAAAGTCCTTCCCTGGGGTGGTGTGGCGGGCTACCCTGGAATTGCACAAGGAGCAAGTCTCCCCGAGGCTGGACTGGCACAGGCCTGTGGGCTGACAATGAGGGGTACATAGCAGGCCCAGGGCTTAGGCAAGGAGCTGGTTTTCTGGGGGGTATAGATGAGGTACCAACAGAAGAACAAGACCCCATGTGACCAGTTAGAGTATGCGGGCTGCAGGGGTCAGCAGGGCAGACCTACGGTGCAGGGCAGTGCTGGCTCCCATTTCGTCATCCCCATTTCACATTCTGCTGGAGCCTTCCAGTCAACCTTTTCCCACCCCGGCCCCCCAGTCCCTTGATGCTCCCCACTCAGGGCCCCTGGCCGTGTGTCCCCAGGTTCGTTACCTGCAGCGGCCCATCGCCCTGTGGTGCGGCCTCAACCACTCCCTAGTGCTGAGCCAGAGCTCGGACTTCAGCAAGGAGCTGCTGGGCTGCGGCTGCGGGGCTGGGGGCCGCCTCCCCGGCTGGCCCAAGGGGAGTGCCTCCTTCGTCAAGCTCCAAGTCAAGGTCAGATCGGGGTCAGGGGAGCGGGCACCCAGGGAGGACGTGAGCCCTGAGCCAGTAAGCCCACAAGACTGTAGCTGGAGCTCCTGCAGGGACACAGGGAGTCCCATTTCCCTAGCACCACCCCACCTACTTCCTCTGCCACATAACATGCACTCTGCCCTGTCCCTTAGCAGACTGCGCTGGCCACAATGCCCCTGGGACTTAGCAGGCTCAGGGCTGGTGTGAGAGGGAAGAACACAATAGGCAGATTAGCCTGGGCTCCCTGGGAACCCCTGCAAGGAAAGCACCACTCAGCCCTGCCCCTTTCTCACCTCCTCCAAGGTCCCTCTGTGTGCCTGTGCCCTCTGCGCCACCAGGGACTGTCTCTACATGCTATCCAGCCATGACATTGAGGAGCACACCTCCTATCGTGACCTGCCGGCCAGCAGGGTGGTGGGGACTCCCGAGCCCAGCCTAGGGGCCGGAGCACCTCAGGACCCCGGCGGGACGGCCCGGGCCTGCGAGGAGTACCTCAGCCAGATCCACAGTTGCCAAACGTTGCAAGACCGCATGGAGAAGATGAAGGAGATCATAGGGTGGATGCCCCTGATGGCCGCACAGAAGGACTTCTTCTGGGAGGCCCTGGACATGCTGCAGAGGGATGTGGGAGGTGGGAGTGGCGGCCCCCAGCCCCTGAGAGCTAGCCCAACCCCTGGAGGGAGTCCGCCCCAGCCAGGGGCTAAGGAGCAATGACCACTCTGCGCATGCGTGTGGGATGGGGTTGCTAGGGGCTGGGGACCACTAGCCAGGGTAGGGCAGGGAATTGTTTTGTAAAATATTCAGGGGGCTGTCCAGGAGGGGCCCCCAACCTGACTATCATGGACAAGAAATTTGATGGATAGAATAAAAGGCTGCAGCGAGGTCCGGTGTGGAAGCCTGGGGGGCTGGAGGGCCAGGGGCAGGGATGGAGGCCTGCTGCCTGGCTCAGCAGGTGTGGGAGGGCAGGAGCCCAGGTAGGGGCAGGCAGCACAAGCAGCTCCAGGTCTCAGGTGCTGCAGAGCTGATGGCGTCTGAAGCTGTCACGTTGCTGTCCACTCCCTGCTCCCGAGAGCCTAGCCGGTTGTTGGAACTGGGAGGTCCCAGCCCACCTTCTGGAACAACTCTATGCACAGATGCTCTTGGCTACCCCACTGGGATCCCCTGTCTACCAAACTTATCCCCATCCTGAGGCAGCAGGTTCCTCCTGACCCTCGAAAGCTTCCCACCCATCTCCCTTTGACCTGAAGCCAGCCCCTCCTCTCTTCCTGCTGTTTACCTCTTGGGTCTGGGCTCATTCGTCCTTTTCCCCCTATTTTCTACTCCTTGCACCTCTTCCTCAGTAATAGAGACACTCCCTTTGTCCACACCCCACGCCTCCTGTCTCGCTTCCTGTACCTTCAAGTATTTGGAAGAGGTCATTTGGAAGAATTCCTCCTCCTTGGCCTAGCCTGCCTTAGGTCTGGAGAGAAGGCAGTAGAGAGTTGAAGTGAAGGCCTGGCTCAGTGGCTACACCTATAATCCCAGCACTTTGGGAGGCCGAGGCAGATGGATCACGAGATCAGGAGTTCAAAACCAGCCTGACCAAGATGGTAAAACATCGTCTCTACTAAAAATATAAAAATTAGCTGGGCGCGGAGATGGGCACCTGTAATCCCAGATACTTGGGAGGCTGAGGCTGGAGAATCACTTGAACCCAGAAGGCAGAGGTTGCAGTGTGCCTAGATCGCACACTGCACTCTAGCCTGGGTCGAAGAATAAGACTCTGTCTAAAAGAAAAAAAAAAAAAAATTTAAGTGGAAAATGAGCTAGCAGGGGTGGTCAGGCAGGGGGTGAGCAACGAGGGCTCCTGAGCTGAGGAAGCAGGGGCTGGGGGTTGATGGGGGATAGGGAATCCTCAGAAGGTCCCAAAGATGCCCCCTCACTGGATAGAGTGGGATTCCTGATGACATTACTTGAGGCCTGGGTGATGGCCTCTGCCCCTCACTCCTCCTTAGGTCAATATTTATGTGTCCTAGACCTAGAGAGGTCCCAGGACGCTCCACTGTCCCGCCTTCCCCACCGCCCGCCCCACTGGCCAGTCCCCACGCCCACACACCCGAGGCTGCCCCATCTGGCGCTGATCATCCTGCTGCTGCTGCTGCCGCCACTGCTGCTCTGCAAAATTCAGCTGCTGCTTCTGTCTCAAGGACCCCACCGCCTTTCCCCGGGGCCATGCTGCCTGCAGCCACAGCCTCCCTCCTGGGGCCCCTCCTCATTGTCTGTGCCCTGCTGCCTTTTGCCCAGGGCCAGACCCCCAACTACACCAGGTAGGTCTCTTGGCATCTTCCAGACAGCTCCAGTGAACTTCAGACTCCCGATTCCTGGGGGGTTATGCCTGGGGATATTTTGGGTTCTGTGGCCGACATACCACTCCCCAGATTCCCCACCACCTCACCTTTCTCTGGCCCCCAACTGCTCCACATCTGCTGCAAGACCTTGGTCTCCCAAAGGCCATCACTGCTCTTAAGTCTCCCCACCCATCCAGATCCTCGGCTCCCCATAGAACTCAAGAGAGAGCCCAGTTCCTGAACTTGCCTGGTAGCTGGATTCTAGGAAGGAATTACAGAGGTATTGTAGGGGGAGGAGGGGGCAGCGAGTGGAGAAGTGGGAGTCAGATTCTGAATTAGTTAGGAACAGGGCAGGGCTAAGGTGAGGAGCTGAGGGAGCCTGGCCTCCAGGCTCACTGTGAGGGCCATCGCCACTGCCGCTCCCTCCATCTCTCCCCCCGCATCGCCTCGTGGCTGTGTCCACATCTGGAAGTAGTTAGGCGGCTCCTGTCCCCGGACTGCCAGGCAGAATGAGGGGGGAGTCAGGAAGGGGGGCCGAGGAGGATTCCGGGAATTCCTGTTGGGGTGGGGGTGGGGTTGCAGGGATGGTCGAGTTACCAGGCCCACTTTTCCCTTATCTTCTGTTGGAGTCTGGGACACTCCAGCCCCGTCCTGGCTGGTGGAAGCTGCCCAGGTCTCTCAAGTCTTTCCATTTCGTCCTCTGGCTTCCCTCCCTGGAGTTTCATCCTCATGACCCCATCCCCTCTTGTTCCCACCTTTCCCTGCTTTTTTTTTTTGAGACGGAGTCTTGGAGTCTCGCTCTGTCACCCAAGCAGGAGTGGTGAGTGGCGCAATCTCAGCTCACTGCAACCTCCACCTCCCAGGTTCAAGCAATTCTTCCAACCTCAGACTCCTGAGTAGCTGGGACTATAGGTGTGCACCACCATACCAGGCTAATTTTTGTATTTTTAGCCAGGCACAGTGGTTCACGCCTGTAATCCCAGCACTTTGGGAGGCTGAGGTGGGTGGATTGCCTGAGGTCGGAGTTCGAGATCATCCTGACCAACATGGCAAAACCTCGTCTCTACTAAAAATAGAAAAAGTTAATCAGGCATGGTGGCAGGTGCCTGTAGTCTCAGCTACTCAGGAGGCTGAGGCAGAAGAATTGCTTGAACTCAGGAGATGGAGGTTGCAGTGAGCCAATTGCACTCCAGCCTGGGCGACAGAGTGAGGCTCTGTCTCCAAAAGCAAATTGTATTTTTAGTAAGAGATGGGGTTTCATTATGTTGGCCAGGATGGACTTGAGCTCCTGACCTCAGGTGATCCGCCCACCTCAGCCTCCCAAAGTTCTGAGATTATAGGCGTGATCCACGGTGACTGGCCCTGCTCCAGGTCTTTTATAAGGCCTTTCCATTTTGTTTCCTGGCTTCCCTCCCTGGAGTTTCATCCTCATCACCCCATTCCCATCTTGCCACTGCTCCCCCATCCCACCCATCCCTGCTCTTTTCTGACCTCTCTTCTGTTCTCCAGACCTGTGTTCCTGTGCGGAGGGGATGTGAAGGGGGAATCAGGTTACGTGGCAAGTGAGGGGTTCCCCAACCTCTACCCACCTAATAAGGAGTGCATCTGGACCATAACGGTGAGAAGCCCCTCTGGGCACTATCCCTTGTCAAAGGGGCAAAGGCCTGACTGTGAAGGGACCCCCACCTCCCCCAGCACCACCTTTTCAACCTGGGGCAGCTCCCTTCCCTCTGTCACTGAAGGCATCATTCCCAAGCAACAAGCACTCTCTTAACCATTCCCTCAAATTCTCATTCTCCAGCCCCCAACCCTCCCTCCTCTTCCAAAGCCTCAGCTCTTGTCCCCTGCACAGGCCACCAGCAGCGCTGTAGAGACCAGGCCCTCTGCCCTGCACTCACATGCAGGTTCCTTCCTGTTCAGTCCGTTTCTGCAAGAAACGCTTGGGCAGGGGAGCTGCCCTCTGGCTGGGTTGTGTGGGGCCTGACTCTGTGGGTCCCCACCTCTGTCCCCGCCATCAGGTCCCCGAGGGCCAGACTGTGTCCCTCTCATTCCGAGTCTTCGACCTGGAGCTACACCCTGCCTGCCGCTACGATGCTCTGGAGGTCTTCGCTGGGTCTGGGACTTCGGGCCAGCGGCTCGGACGCTTTTGCGGGACCTTCCGGCCTGCGCCCCTAGTTGCCCCTGGCAACCAGGTGACCCTGAGGATGACGGCAGACGAGGGCACAGGAGGACGAGGCTTCCTGCTCTGGTACAGCGGGCGGGCCACCTCAGGCACTGGTGAGACCTCCCTCACCTCCGCCTTCCCCTCTCCAGGCCCCGCCCCGGGCGCAGCCCTGCCCCCAGTCCAAACCTCCGCCCCGCCCACCCCGCGCCCCAGCGCCTAGGGCCCCTTACCTCCCTGACCCATTTTCCTCACTAACCGCCTCTTCAGTCCCTCCTCCCCGTCTTCTCTCCCACCCTCCCGCACCCACCCATCCCCTCTTCCAGGGCCCCCCCCAGGCGCGAGGCGGAAATGGGTCACCGACCCGCGGGTGGAATGGGCGGCCTGGGGTTACTGGGACGGTGAGTAACTGCCCGCCCCCGTCCGCAATCGGGCTCCCTCCGACGGGCGCGAGGGGGCACCCCAGGGCTGGGGGACTAGGTTCCTCCGACCCGAGGGGGGCCCCCCTCTACACCCAGCCCTGGGCTCCCGATTGCGGTCCCATCACCCACTCCTGGCGGCAGAAGTTTCCCTTGCAATGTTTCAGGCGGGGACCTCCGCAAAGGGGGTCTCGGGGACTGTGCCCCAAGTCGAGGACACCCTCTTCAGCCTGAAAGGGGACTCTGCTGCCGGGCCGGGGAGATGGGATCTCCTAGGGGAAGAGGCGCGGTGCGGCCGCGGGTCAGGGAGGGGCCAGAAGGGGGCGTCCAGCCAGCTCCTCCTACCGCTTCCACCGCCCGCCTGTGTGCCCTGCTGCCCCAAATTTCCCCGAGCCACGCTCCTCCCGGCCACTCTCTGCTAACCTGCCCCCATCTTACCTCCCCTTCTTCTCGTCCCCTCATCCTGAGCCCCAGACATTCAAGCTGCCTGCCGGGGCTCCCAGCCTGGAGCTCTCCTAGAGCTGACCGAGGGTCTCCACCGCCCCCCACCCCCGCTCCTCTCTCCCCTCCCCAGAGCACCAATTTTGCGGGGGGCGGCTGGAGAAGGCCCAGGGAACCCTGACCACGCCCAACTGGCCCGAGTCCGATTACCCCCCGGGCATCAGCTGTTCCTGGCACATCATCGCGCCCCGGGACCAGGTACCGACCCTCCTCCCCGGGCTGCCCTCGGGGACCCAGACGGCGCCCTCCGGCTTGCAGCCAGCAAAGATTTATTGAACTGCGCTTGCGCTGGTGGGATCCCCAAACTGCCCAAGCCCCTGCATGCATGCAAACAAAAATACAAAAATTGCAACTGAGACAAGTCTCAGGAGAGGGAGG